GCCACGCGTTCCAAATGTTTTGTCGAAATGCGAGTCTGGTCCCATGGGTTTGGCGGGAAATCAGATCCTTGCCATACGAACGTGGAATCTATAGAGGGTTGCTGCCCGAACAGATGAAGATAGTCCGGTGCTCGTCTGCTCGCCCACGGAAACCTTTTCACACTATTGTTATTGTTTTTTTTAAATACGTGCTTGTGAAGTTGCTTCAAATTAGCATTTTTGTTCGGTTTACAGACTACTTGTAAATGAATAATTGATCGGCTCCAAATTTGATGGTTAATAATTGATGCCTGCGTTGAACTCAACTCTCGTACAAAATGTAAACGTGTAATTTTTTGAACGAAGGCAAAATAATAATTTGGAGGTGTGCTAATAACAATTGCGATTTTATTTGGGCCGCACATTGACTGGCGCCATTTACCTCGGCATCGATAGCTTTGCCTTCGACCTAAACCCGAAAGTGATTTTCGGTTAAAATGAATACAACGTTAAATTATTTGCCAACAGAGTTTACGCAATAATAATTTCAACCCGTAGGGCAGTATCTGCTCTCGAAGATGGAGAACGACTCAGAGGTGCGAGGAGGCAGCGGCCACGCGATGAGCCGGCACCAAATTTCCTCCCCAAACTCTGCGGTCCTCTCTATATCAGGGTGTTTCCGGTCAATTTTACCGAGTGTTTATACACGCTGGAGGAAACCGGAGGACTCGGGGAAAAAGTCACGCGTGCGATGGGTGGTGGGTGCAACACTTTCTCCCCCGGTAACCCACTTGCCGTACTGCCGTCTATTGGACGTCTATTGGACGGCAGTACGGCGACTTCGAAGCCCATGGAAAGGGGAGCTTCGCGTCATCGTTTGTGCGATCCACCAAGCCTCGCCGCCTCCACAGTGCCGGATCACAGGCGTGCGCGCAGCCACACCGCTCGGCTCGTACACAAGGGCAGCCATGGATATAATGCTGGGTTCCGCAGTGGCAAGATGTTGACTACCTCGCCTGGTGTACAAGAGATCAAGGGATCAATCACGACCCTGACACCTGCATATTTGGAGTTTGCATGTTCTCCCCGTGGTCGAGTAGATTTTTCTCCGGATCCTCCGTATTTCCCTCCTCAGTTAGAAACACGCGTTTAGAGTAATTGGCTGCTATACATTTTCACATGATAAGCCACTTCGTTGAACTATCATTTGTGTCCAGGTTGCTTCTGAAAAATAACTATATAGCTCAGTGGGCCTTACTTGGTAATATAAAAAAATATATATATATTTTACAGCACTGAGCAGAAGGAGCTTAACACTTATGAAAATTTAAAGGTTGATACTTCATCCATAGATTTGAGGGAAATGTTTATATATATTTACACACCCACGCATGTTCTCCACTTTCGCATTCCCATCTGCGATGCATCCTTGCGTTGTTTCCATTTCGCTTGCAATATCCTAAACAAATGCCGATGCATTTGGAGAACTTGTTGTTTTAAAACAAAAACTGACATTTAAAACATCGGAAAAACATCGGAAATACATTGCTGCTTATCTCTACAGACTGCAAATTTTATATGGACATTATGCAATTTATACCTGTGTAGTGTCACTGATTCAGAGACAGAGTTTCTAGGAGGTACTTACTTTATTATCAACGTTCACGGTCTCGTCCGTACACTCTCCACAATAGCTTAGCCTAGCCTGTACACAACACTAGCCGTCTAACACTGACGGCGCTGACTGAGATAGCCAACTACTATCCTTCGTAGCGCAATATCTAGCGGAGACGTTTAGCGACGACAGCGACAGTGCGACGAGACAAGTTCACTCCCAGAACCGGCAGCCTCGAGCCCCCCGCTCTCAGCTATTTTTATGCTCCCAGCGCGGCCTGGCTCTGCCCTGACCGCGCCTCCCTTCTCGAACTCGCTAGCAGGTTCCAGGGGCCTCCAGATGGGGTCCTCCGTGACCCTTGCCCTAGTTCCTCCGCTCTGCCAACACACCGTGCCCTCACCAGCGTGTGTACTGTCTGTCCACTACAGTTGCCGTTGCTGTCCACCAGCTGGCGCTATTACACTACACTTGTAAGGAATATTGCACCCGTGACATGACGAAATGTTTCAGAGTGCAGATTTGTTTTTTAGCCCATGGGGCCCCTGGTGGCAATAGCAGTCTGGCATGTCTGTTACTCAAAAATATTTGTGCAGGACTTCGGACAAACCTGAAAATTTGCTTCTGTGATATAGTCACCAAAAACAGTTGCCATCCCCAAGTTCATTTCTGAATTTGGTACAACTGTAATCTCCAGATTATAAGGAGTACTTCCCCCCCCTTCCCCCCAGAATGTTAAAGCAAAAGTTGGTCGTGCGTCTTAGAATCCAGTAGGTGTGTGTATGTTTGTGTGTGTGGGGGAGCGGTGGTGTCGCGGTTCGCGCGCTACGCTATGAACCCGGTCGCCCGAGTTCGATTCCCGCTCACGGCCAATACCAGTGACGATTATCTGAACCGGTCATGGGCATCGCCTAGGTCGACTCAGCTTCAAATGAATACCTGTTGCGATGTGTAAACATCGCCACTGGGGAGGCAAAGGCGGCCGGGCGTGGTGTTGGCCACCCACCCCCTCAATGTGCCGTGCCAGCCTTCATAGGTGCTCGCTAACAGCACTTACCCCAACAGTCTGTTAAGGCTATACAGGGAGTCTTTGTCTTTGTGCGTGGGGAACGGTGGTGCAATGATGAGCGCACTGCGCTACAAACCCGTCGATCAGAGTTAAATTCCCGCTCACGACGAATAATAATGGTGAATATTTGAGCCAGTCCTGGGCCTCCCCCTAGGTCGACTAAGCTTCAAATGAGTACCAGGAGCGGTGTCTAAACACCACCACTGGGGGAGACAAAGGCGGTCGGGCGTGGGGCTGGCCACACAGCTCCTTCGCGTGCCGTTGCGGCCTTCATGGGTGCTTGCTTAGCAGCACTTGCCCCCAAAAAGTTTGTTAGGGTTATTTACGGGGGGGGGGGGGGGGGGGGAGGAATTTTTGTTTTTTGAGTGCGTGACCAGAAATTTGTACAAATTTGTACAACTTTATCGACGCCGGGCACACGTTCGTGGGGCGCGTCCGTCTTACTTCCCGCAGTGTCCCAAGGATCCTGAGAATACGGTCAACTTTTTTAAAGCACGTGCTTAAAATTTAATGTTGTGAGTGAAAAAACTGGCGCCGAATTAGGAAGTGGTTTGGACAGTAATTTCGAGTGGGGTGGCCGGCTACACCACCAGGGTTTCACCTAATTTTTGCTTTTCCTAACCCCTTGGCCCCACCAGCTGCAAGCTATTTAAACGCAGACTTCCACAAAGGCGCTTCGCCGATTTGCTTTACTTTCTGGCCCTTCAACGAGAAACAGATGACGTCTGCGGCGAGCCCTTTTGCTCCGACTACTGCCGGTTGAGAATATAATTTTCATGGAGGCGTCGTCTTCCCAGGGTGGGAAAGACAACGCAAATTGTCAAACAAATCGCCGCGTGCGCATCGGTACAATTGGAATTAGCGGGGTGGCACGGCAACGGTCAACGGAGCTAACATCAGAGACGTAAACGCCGAAAGAAATGTTATTGTGCACGTGCTAAGCTGACGGATAACGTACACAAAATATATATTTTAAAAAAATACATGTTAGAAAATATAAACCGACTGACTCATTGATTGACTGCGCGAGTGACTGAAGTTTAGCGATCGCTCTGGAAGGGATAGAAAGTTGAAGTTTAGAATGTTTAGCTGAATCTATGCTTGCGGTATACGAACCTCCGATTTGTTTTTTGTTTGGGACGTTAAAAAGTCAGCCCCCCAAGATAAAAAAGAGTCAGCCCTCCAAGTTCTCAATTGCTTTCAGTCTCGAGCTAAACACTTCCAAATATAGGATCTCACCAATCCGGGAGAACCAGGTAAGTCACCTCCTGTGGGATTTAACGCAAAAAATACGAAGTGGATGTAGCCCAATACTGTAGGCTACGAGTTACAACCGTGCTCACCCCGCACCTAAGATTAGCATGGTTGGCTACGTACGGCGCAAAAGAAGTTCAACATACATGAAACAATAGCATCATTATAAATCCAAGTGGTGGAGTGGTGTCACGGTGGTTAGCACACCGGAGTTAAGAACCGGGCAAACAAGAGTTCGATTCACAAACACAGCGAACATCAGCGGCGAGTGATATCTGAACAGGTGCCATTTCTTCACCAGCTCACAATGAGCAGCGTGGTAAAGAATGGGGAGCACTTTCGTTTGGCAGATGTTTGACAAAAAGGCTGAGAAATTCTGTATTTACGAATCAACCGATTCTACTCGAATGGCTATTCAATACAGAAACAAGTGCTATAAAGTGTCTCAAGACATGTTGTGATGCATTAAGAGATCCGCTATCCGCTGTGTAAAGGAATCGATTACTCAACGTGCCTATCGGTTCCATTACTCGATTAATCAGGATAACATGATAACATTAAGGGAATTAAGGTGCACATCTGCTACCACGTGTGTCGCTGGACGAGAGGTGATGGGCAGGACATTGGTGACATAATTTGGCTGGGCGTGAAATGCCGGGGGATGTCACAGGAGTCTGCTGCAGTTATCAGCAGAGACAAGTACAGCAGTATCCATTGCTGGACTGTACTTATATGTTCCCGAGTCTGTGCTCCCGGCATTTACCAACCAAAGTGTGCCAGCACGAAGAGGTATTATCAAATAACTCTCATGTATGTACGTACGTTGAACTTCCTTCGCACCATACCGTAACCAACCGTGCTACATTGGAGGTGCGGGGGAAGGACAACAAACAAATGATCGCGAGGTACTCGTTTGAGGCCGAGTCAACCTAGGGAAGGCCCAGGACCACTTCAGATAATCGTCGCTGGTTTTGGCCGTGAGCGGGAATCCAACTCGACCACCAGCAATGGGCATTGGGGAGACACTCATCCGGCAGTGGATCAAAGGGTACAACCGTACGTGCATGTTGTGCGGGGTGCACTGACCAGTCGCATGCCTCTTGAACACCATGGTCGCCTGTTGAAGCAAGAGCCTTGAGCCTGAAATGCAAAATGCACACGCATGCATGCATGTAAGTGAACTGCTTAAGCGTTGCCACCCGCATAATGCAATCTTAAAATCCAGCGTGCCCACAAAGACAAAGATTCCACCCCGCCCCCCCCCCCCCCCCCCCACATAGACGTCAACGGACGTTTGTCAAAAGTGGGAGCACCTAGAATGATCGCAGGCCTGCACGGCGAGCGAGGAGGTGCAGTTGCTCGACACCGCGCCCTTTGTCTCCCCCGTGCTGATGTGTAACACGCCGCGCGCCAGGTACGCATTCAAGGGGTACCTGGTGCGGTGTGTAAACATTTGGCCTTGTGCCAAATGACGGGAGGCTACGAAGATCAGACCTTGCAAAATATGTGTGCTTGTGTCTGGATATCTGTGTATGTGTACACATACACAGATTCCCCCCCCCCCCATATAGCCTTAACAGTCTGTTGGGGTAAGTGCTGTTAGTGAGCAACTATGAAGGCCGGCACGGCACACAGTTTTGAGGCTGAGTCGACCTAGGGGAGGCGCCAGGACCTGTTCAAATATTCGCCACTCTAATTGGTCATGAGTGAAAATCGAAAACCAGGTTTCCAGGTTCGTAGAGCAGTGTGTTAATCATCGCGCCACCGCTCCCCACTTACAAATACCCAATACACAAATCAAAGATCCCCCGAATAGCCTTAACAGACTGTTGGGGCAAGTGGCGTTAGCGAGCGGCACCTATGAAGGCCAGCACGGCACTTTTTAAACACGTCACACAAGGGACGTGCAGGTGTATATATGTAAACAAGCGAGAGGAAAAGATCCGCTTTGATTCTGTGACGCTTTCCAAGCGTGCCTTTGTCTTCATGAGGAAGATGTGTACGGTCCTTAGCGGTGTTAAAGTCGACAGGCAGCTGATAGGACAGAGCAAGTCTGCATAGTTGCAAACATCCCCTTGTTTTTCTCTCTGGCGTATTTCTGCAGGTAATAGGCAAGAACCCCTTTGATCAATGTGGCCGGCTTTCTGAAGGATACGTCGCCGAATAATAACGGAGGTATCTTCTTTGGTTCTTTCGGTAAAGTCACGTAGAATGAGAATAAAATAATAAATTGATCAAATAAAATAACACAATAATATTCTCACGACGTTTCGGCCACAACACAAGCGGCCTTCATCAGGTGAAGGGACGAGACTGTCTGGTAGGACAGCGCTGGAGTGAAAAAGCCACGTTCAGATCACGACCTTTAAGCTGTGTGGTCGTGATCTGAACGTGGCTCTCCGAACGTTTGTGCATGTTTGACCATCTTCCACGAGAGATGACGTTCCCCGCCCCCCCCCCCCCCCGTTACAGACGGGCTGAGCCAAAGCAGGAACGCGACGAACGCTTCCAAACCTTAAGTTGGAAAGCGCGAAGAAGAATAAAAACAGCGACCACGCAAATAAACGGTGCGCGCTCAAGCAAAAGGCTAAAAAGAAAAAAATGTTTTTTGCTCTCACAAAAGAAAGTCTGTTTGCCAAAATGTTATCCGACTTTTAAACGTGCAGAAAAAACAACCCAGTTTCTGGCAATGATTTACAACATCCCCCCCCCGCCCCCATCTTCCACCACCGCCTCATAGTGATTTTGCAGATCGGAAGTCGACTGCAGAGGAGATGTGCAACTCTGTGTGTGTGAGCGCAAGCGTGACCAGCACCGCACGCGGAAAAAAACCGTGAGTGACCTCAAGCTGCACCAATTATATTATTCTGGTGCAACTCCCCACCCCACCGCCCCAATCGCTCCTGACCCTCCCCGGTCTCCCCGCTCTCCTCCTTTCTCCTCCACCATCCCCCTGGCCACCATCGTGCCCTCGGCGACCTTCCTTCCACTTCCCAGCCTCCCCGCTTTCCGAAAGCAGTTAACCCCGGCTATCGAGGCACATCTGCTTAAATTGTTATCGTGGTGCGCTCGCTGGAAAACGCAGGCCTGCAGGCAAATACAAAGATTATCTCCCCCCCCCCCCCCCTCTGTATAGCCTCAATAGACTTTTGGGGCAAGTGCTGTTAGCGAGCACCTTTGAAGGCCGGCCACGGCACACGATAGCGGTGGGCGGCCAGCACCACGCCAAGCGTGGCGATATTTGCCACGACGCGCCAGTTACTCATTTGAGGCCGAGTCGACCTGGGGGAGGCCCAGGAGACTGGTTCAGCTATTCGTCACCCACAATGTGTGCACGGGCGCTCGACAGAGAGAGGGGCCCCGGGCACGTTCGCTGCTGCCAAAGGAGGGAGAGCGAAAGACGCCCCATGAATGGGGCTGGCGCTCACTCGCACACACACGGGAGGGAGAGACAGCAAAAACAAAGACCACCCCCTCCGTATAGCCTTTAACAGACTGTTGGGCCAAGTGCTGTTAACGAGCACCTATGAAGGCCGGCACGGCACACGAGGGGGTGGATGGCCAGCACCACCCCGGCCGCCTTTGTCTCCCCAGTGGCGATGTTTACACACCACACCAGGTACTCATTTCAGGCTGAGTTGACCTAGGGGAGGCCCAAGACCGGTTCAGAAAATCGTCACTGGGTGTTGGCCGTGAGCGGGAATCGAACCCGGGTCGCTGGGCAGCGTGGCGCTAACCGCTACGCCACCGCTCCCCACTGTGAGAGGACAGCACACACACACACACGTACACGCACACGGGAGGGAGAGGGAGAAGAGAAGAGCACACACGAGAGAGCAGAGAGAGAGAGAGCGAGCCGAACGCTTTCTGGGTCAAACAGGGTAGGGGGAAGCAGGCAACGGCAGCCAGCGCATGCCAGAGAAATCACATAACCGCAATAGGAAGTCCGCTGTCAAGAGGAGGACTCCAAGAGAGACTACTGCACTTAGCGAACGGCATATGCGCTCAGTGTTATGTTATTGCTGCCGCAAAGCGTGCACGGGGCATAAGGCGAAAGGATTGCAGTGGGGCGGCCGCGTGCCGCATAATTTATGTAGCATGCGGGGGTCCGTTCCCGTAAATGTATCACGCCTGGTTCCTCGCGGATTGGAATAACTGCTCATCCACGGTTTGAACGGCGATGGCACTTTTCTGCTTGGTGATAGTGCAACAAAGATAGCGATCTCCCCCTCCCCATCCCCTGGCCTACCACGTAGCCTGTTGAGGAAAGTGCACTTAAGCGAGCACCTATTAAGGCCGCTGCAGTGCTGAATGGGGGTGGGTGTGTACGCATGTGCCCCAGCAGTCTGTTAATGCTGTACGGGGGATCTTTGTTCTTGGTGGGGGGGCGGCGCTGCGCTACGATCCCGGCAACCCGAGTTCGATTCCTGCTCACGGCCAACACCAGTGACCAAAATTTGAACCGGTCCTCTGGGCCTCCCCTAAGTCGACTCAGCCTCAAATGAGTACCTGGTGTGATGTGTAGACGTCGCCATTGTGTGCCGTGCCGGCCTTCATAGTTACTCGCTAACAGCACTTGCCCCAACAGTATGTTAAGGCTATATGGGGGATCTTTGTACGTGTCTACACAAACACAGATAGCAAGACACAGGCACACATAGCTTCGAGGTCTGATCCTCATAGCCAAGGTCTCCCACTTGGTCGCTGATCCCTGGGTGCCACTCCAAGGCCAGCCTCAGTAGCCTGTCCTCCGCATGCATGCTGAACTTCTTCCGCAACCGTACGTAGCCAACCGTACTAATCGGAGGTGCAGGTGAAGGACAACACCCTGCACACGTGTCCCATCCATCACAACCTCCCCACCCCACCTCCCTTCCTAATCACATCGACAACACCGTCTTGCAGCCTTCAATCACGAGCTTCCAAGCTTGCTCCATGCTCTCTTCTCCAACCATCCCTACACGTGCATCTCGCTCATCGTAACCTCCTCTTCCTCATGGCACTAACAACGGTCTCTTACCAAGTCACAAGTTGCTCAGCCTATCTTCGCACGACATGCCTAACATCCTCTGAATTGCACAAATGTGCCAAGGCCAAATGTTCATTTTCCTTGACGCGTTTTTAAAATCCAACTTTCTAACTGATGCAGTCACAAGGCCTTTACCTATGCCCCAAGCATCCGTCTTTTGACAGTATCTGCGATTAACATTTAAAGGGATAAGCAAACCTAAACACAAATACGGCATCACTTGTCTTGAAGAGACATGCATAGGCTGTGCCCTCGTCTCCCTGGCATGAGTTTCAATGTTCATTTATTGAGAAAAAAGACCGATCGATCCAGGGCCTTTGATTTGAGAGTTTGTGGATCGCACCACTTTATTTTTCAAACTCCCAAACCCGATGGGCTGAGAGATGGTCAGGCGATAACAGTACAGCAAAGTGGACTGAATCCACCTGTCCAGAGCTCTTGGTGTTATCCTCTCATGTGCATGAGTTTTCTCCAGAAAGTCTGGTTTTCCTCCCACGTGAATCCAAGCAATCATGAATAAAACGGGCCAAACATCACAATGCAGGACTTTCCTGGAAAATACCCAAGGAGACTCCGCTAAGCTTTAATTAAAAAAATGTTTTACATTATTATTATTATTGCGCTTCCCAAGTTCCAAATGAATAAGTTATCCCATGACCGAACATCAATACCACTTCCCGAAGAAAAAAATCGGATTACGTTTAAAACAAAAATAGACCATTGTAGAGATAATAAGTATCAAAGTGTTTTCTTATTTCTGTGCTGTGGACCGGGCCCCCCACCGCTCCTCCGACGTTCAAAACAGGAAGGGAGCTCGCAGGTAAGGAAGCAGGCGGGCGAGCACACAGCGGCCGCGTGAGCGGAGCGGCCCAACAAGACGGTAGCACGGAGACCACAACGTTCATCGCAAACGAGAAGTAAACAAAGATACGGACAAAGATCACCCCCCCCGCCCCCCATATCGCCTTTAGCCAATTTTAGGGCAAGTGCTGTTAGCGAGCGCCTATCAAATAGGCCGGCGTGGCGCACGATCGAGTGAAGTTGGCCAGCACCACGCCCGGCCGCCTTTGTTGCCCAAGTGCCGATGTTTACATTCCACACCGAGTAGTCG